AGAAGCGCCGTAGGACATGCAAGGCAAAGGAGAGAACTGACGATGATAGAAGACGGAGCGCCGTGAAGGCTTACCTGGGCTCCTTGCAGATTACTTGGGCCTTTTGCCAAAGGTACCATCGCCGAATGGGTTTACCGAATTCCCAGAAATGCCAACAGTTCAATGCATTGCAGAATACGCTTTTGCAGCAACAGGAACCTTCCTGTTCGACATGCCTCGCCATGCTCAAGAGTCAAGGTTTTGAGATGGAGGTTTTGCAAGACTGCTTGGCGAATTCACTGGACCGAGAGCTTTTTCCAGACACACCAGGCATATCACAGCTGAGGAAAATGAATCAGGACATGAGCAGGTTCCTCAATGATCCAGAGGACACCACTGTGCCAATAGCCACTGAGGAAGATCCATTGCCTGCACAGGACGTGGGTGAACCAGAAGCTTTGCAATTGGTCGCGCTACCGGACCCAGCAGCTGAAGGTGAAGACAATCCCGAGAATGAGGAGGAGCGGAAAGTGCATATAATTTCAACCCACAGTGTGTTACAGTAACCGTTTTTCTTTTTATGAAATGCATCAATGGGGCATTTTGTTCAGAGAGTTTGACACAATTCAATACTACTCCATTTTATAAATATAATGTTGCACAATACAACCCAGTGTGGTGTTGTGTCTGTGATGGTATTCAACCCATTTTATAAGCATGCGCAAATATGCGCAAGTGGCAGGAGGATGAGGAAGAGGCAGAGGATTCGTCAGATATCTTTGGCATTGTCAACAGGTGCCCTTACTTGCAGCTACTTCCCGAAAACACCCATGATAGACGACTGCCTGTGAAGTGCTTGATTTGCAAATCCCGAAGTCAACCAGATGGCAAAGTGTTCGAGGCTCACTATGCCAGGAAGAATGTGGTAGACACATTCGTCAAACAACATCTGAAGGGCAGCACTCATTTGGCATCGCTGGCAAGAATTCTAGGTTCTCAGAATCAGACGGCAGAGTCTGATGTTATGGAGCCTGAGCCTTTGGATTGCCCAGAAGCCCCACAGCAGATGTATGCATGCCAAGGACTATGCCTGACTTCTCGGAGCTCAACATCTTCATACTACAAGGAGGAACTGCTACTTTGGACACGAATGACTGTGATAGCATCACACTTGAGCAAGCATAGGTACACATACAACATGCGAAGCGAAGAGCTGGTTTTGCACCACCAGGACTGCGAGAGTGTGACCACACTACAGGTTGAGGGAAGGTACATTTGCTTCAAGTGCAAGGACCCTATATTGCACAAAGGCTCTTTGAAGAGTGCAATCCGATTTGCATTGAAGCACTGGGCCGCCAGAATCCTGGCAGCCAGGCTTTTCAAGCACCCAGAGGTGGCCGAGAAGTTGTGTGACGATTTCCGTTCTACTTCGCTCTTCAGGCTTCAACAGAAACGATGTGAGGAGATCCTGAAACAGAGCAACACCAACTTGCAAAGATGGGTGCGCCACTCCTGGTTGAAACTGCCAAGTTCGTGCTACACGGATGTGTTTCTCGGTTTTGATTGGTTTTGAATGGTTTTGAATGGTTTTGAATGGTTTTGATATGGTTTGGTATGGTTTGATTGGTTTTGTTTTGTTGGAGACATTAAATTGGTTTATGAAATGACCAGAACCAGTGATGAACACAGGAAATCTGGCTAAACTTGCAAATCAAACATATTATAAGATGTGATTTTGTTTTATTACTATTTGTTGATATTTGTTGTTGTTTATGTTTTTGTTTATGAAATCTATGCCCATGGGCCAAACCTTCTCATCATTCCTGATGACTTACAAAAACATTTCATAAATAATAACAGCTTGTAACAACTACCTTATTTGTCAAAACCAAGGCTTCATCAGTTTGTGGATATCACTGTCAAGCCAGCCTTATCGGTCAACGTGGCAGAGTGTAGTGGAGAGCTACGAGAGCTGACAAATGAGTGGACAGCCAAACTTGCAACAGGAAACATGACGGAGATGGCCACCATTCACTGTAAGATTGCCAAAGCTGTTACATCCGGCAGGTTGAATGGCCACCCTGCTGCCTTGGGGATCATGCTGGGATGCATCGACCAGAGTGAGGCAGAGGATAGAGGCAGCAGATTCAGCAAAACATTGAAAGGTGATCTGGAACAGAGCATTATGACTGAGGCTGGTCGTCTCCTTGCATCGAATGGAGCGAACACATCTGTCTTGCGGTCCATGGGTTTTTCAAAAAGCAACCTTCTTCGAGCGCACCGAAAATTGGACGACCTCTTGTCAGACAGCCTTCCAAACCCTGCTCTGTCACTTATCTTTCCAGATGTTGCGCCTCAGAATCTGGCGTTGATAGATGCAGCAGTGCCACGCTGTCCAGGTTATGACGGGCGTCGACGCTTTGTGCTTTGTTTGGATTGCACATATTTGCACCCGATGCAAATGTCCATTCAGCTGCACGGACACAAGGCACTAGTGGGCAGTCCCTTTCAGATGAGCGACATTGGAGATGACCTTCCGGGCTGTTTCCAACGGATTGACTGTGAGAAAGGGTGTGGCTTCACTGAACAAACCAAGGCCAACAGAATGCTTCTTGCCTGTCCTTCGCACCTTTTTGATCCTTATTTGACAGTTTTTGAATGATTTTGAATGATTTTGATAGTCTTTGAATGTCTTTGATCAGTTTCTGTGTTTTTATCAAGTGGGTGGAACCCAGCAAAAAGCTGACAAATCCAGGACAAATGTATTGCCCAAGTCATTTTATAAAAGCCTGGGTGACCATATGTCATTTTATAAAAGCCTGGGTTGCCATGAGTTGCCTATTGAATGAGGTTGGAGTGCCTTATGTGGGATCCAAGTTCAAGCTGCTTGGTCCCATGGAGTGTGATGAGCCTACCATTGGCTTTGAAATGGTTGAATTCAGCACAGGCTGGAAGCTCTTGGGCGGCTTGCTTTTGATTGGTTATGCTTTGCTTTTTGTTCTACGGTAAATAGTGTTTCAATGTGTTTTTGATAGTTTTTCAATTTTATTGGAGAGTTAATGTAGGTCACTTGTTTGCTGGATGTCATTGATCTGTCCAAGGAGGTGCTTCGAATGCTGGATGAACTGCTGCACTATGCCCACGACTATGTCCGGGTTCTTCTCTTTGATGGAGAAGCTTGCAACCAGGTGCTCCGATCAATCATCCATGGCCAGATGGACAACTCCTTTCGCCGCAAAGTCGTTGATCTGAAGTATTTCAGCAAGCTGTCGTACAGTGAGTGTCCAGGCATGCAGGACTTGCCGCGTTTTCCAATGAAAACATGCTTTGTGGACAAGACAGAGCAGATATTCGCATTACAGGGACCAACTCCTGCTCTGAAGAATGGGGCATCACAGGTTTGCTCAGAATCGAAAGTTGTCTTCTTTGGCCACTTCATGTGTGACTTTTCGGGAGCTCTCCAGAATGACCTGCCTCTGCCAGCATACAGCCGCAAGGACGCTATGTCAGACAGGCTGTGTTCACTATTGAGCCACCCGTTGTTCCTTATCCATAGTGATGCTACTTGGATTTGTTTGGTATTATTTCAATCTATTTCATTATGCCTTTGTCATCCTGTGGTTTCTTTTGCTTTCTTTGAGTGACTTTACTTTTGTTACATACCTCCTTCTCAGGACATGATTTCAGAGCGCTGTAGTGTGGATGTGGCCTGGCATCTGCGAGGAGCATTGCTGTGGAATGTCAGTCAAGCCCTGGCGGTGGTACCTTAGTGTCATTTGTAACGTTTCGATTTCTATTAGAGTATGATAGAGTTTGTTAGAGTGTGTTGGGATATGCTTCAAGCCTTTTATGAAATATATTTAACAAGCTAGTTGTATATTCGACGTCAGGGATGATAGTAGGCCGTCATTTTATAAACTCTTGAGTAGATTGATCATTCAGTGTTCTCATTTCACATCATTTCACCGTATCAGAGATTTTGATGGATTTTGTATTTATAAAATGAAATACCATGAAATACCATGAAATACCTATAGACAAAGGTTTATAAAATAAGGGTGGGATATAGCAATTCTTCAGCACAAGCTCGGAAAACAAGGCACCGTCGGTGCACGGCAATATGAGCTCGATTCAGCGGTTGGAAAGCGCATTGTGTGGTTTCCTACTTTTTGACCTTTGGGCACTTGTGGCAACCAAAAGAGAGAAAGAGTACCATGTTGGCCGTGGAAGGATGCAAATAGCAGGCCAAACAAGGCGCAACCTACAATATGTGGCGCTTACAACGGCCCTCCTGACCATAGGCAAGCCAAGGGAGTGGGACGCGTGGCGCCAGTCTCATGGCCTCAACGAGATTCACATCGAGCGCCACTTTGGCCAGTTGCGTGGGCAAGCGTCAAACAGCGAGTTGACGGCCAGGGACTATTGGTATGCCGTGGCTGACAATAGCCGCAAGATGGCCAAGAAGCATGAATCCCGAAGAACCATGTCAAGCCGACAGTGGAGGAGCCCTTGCTTGAGCCAGAGTTCCTCAGATAAAATCCAGTTTTTATATGTTTTGATATGTTTTGATCAGTTTTGTAAAACATCTATGGACATCTGTGGTAAACATATAGGAATATAGGAAACAAATGGAAACAAATGGAAACAATAGGAAGCATATGGAAACGCATACCCATTGAATAGGTCTGGGACATGCATGTTTTCCTTTTATAAATTGGTTTCCCGCAAGTTGCTGATTTATAAAATGGAAACACGTGGATGTGCAGTATTTATATGTATTTATGAAATGTAGTCACATGATGTCACATGTAAGATTCATGGTGGTTTTGTCACATAGGAATCAAATCAAACGCGTTTCTGTTAAATCCCAGAACCTGCAGATTCTGAGGATCAGATCCTGTGCAAAGCGTGCCCTTGCTGCGTCGCTTTTGCTGGTCTCACGATGCTCTGACATTGATGTACAGAGCCTGGAGAAGCTGTACAGGACAGAGTGCATTGGGGACTTCTTTGATGAGCCAGACATGGTGGGCGAGGATTTGCTGGAGCTTTCTCTCCTTGCGAAGGAGATGCAGGATGTCACTGAGGCCGACCACAACCAGCTGAAGAATGTTTTGGTCCACATTGAGCGCGCTGCAAAAGGAGCAGATTGATCAGCACGAACGTGATCAACAAGGAGACGCAGCAGAAGATCAGACAGAAATGCCTACTGCCCAAGATCCAGATGCAGCACTGCCAGATGGACAGCAGCTTGTGGACCTTACCTCAAATCTGCCACCGAGCTCCGATGAAAGCCAGAACTATCCCAAGACATTGGCTGAGGCACGGTTCTAGCTGATTCTGTTGGCAAAGGGATGCAAAGGGTATGTCTTTTATAAAATCGTTTGGAACTGCACAGGGCTTCTCAGAAACCATCCAAACACTAGCTGGTCATTTTATAAATGTTTTCTATTGTTTTCATATGTATTCAATTGTTGTTTTTTCCTTTTCTTTACTTATTTTCATATATGTTCATATCATACTACTTCTGTTCCTTTTCTCTCAAGCTGCAAGTGCAGGCACTGGCTCTTGACAATTGGTGGTCGGGGATTTGGCAGTTGGCCCTGCATCTGCGATGTGGCCCGTCCGGAATGGACAACCTCTACCTTCGTGGCGGAGAAGAAGTTCGATATCGAGCAAGGAAGTTAAACTGGCACCAGACCTTTGGATTTTAAACAGGGTACAGTGTTTTGTTGTTGTTGTTGCTACGTATTGTGTGACGATGTTTGATGTTGCTTGTATTTGTTGATGTTGTTTGTACTTTGCATTGCAGTATATATATATATATATAATGTGTTTAGTTGTTTTTGTAATTGTATGTTTTTGTCTTGGACATGCTGCAGGAATTTGGAGCACCAATTGAAGGAGATTCGGATGAATCAGGATGAGATGATGGCTGGACAGAGGGGCTCACGGATTTCAAAGTGGATTCAGCATTCCAGCACTATGCGGGATCGGGCTGGCTGGCAAGCTCCTGAGAAGATTCAGAGCCTTGTCCTTGTGATAGAAATGTTTTTTTTTTAATATTGTTCGCTGCCTTTTTTTAAAGGTATCTTGTTGAAGTTTAAGGAATAAGAATATTAGTTAAATAGTATAGCAATAAATAGAATATGGTGTTTATAAAACGAGAAGCTATAACCCTCTAGAAGTATCTTCCACCAGTGTGTGAAACAATGTCATTTTATAAATAGCTGGCCTGCTAGATTTGAATAGATTTGACATTTATGAAATGGAACGGATTGTTTATACAATGCACTTCTCGCCATTCAAATCACCATGTACAGTATTCCGTGTAGTTATGCCATTTCATAAACCTGTCTGTCACCTGTTTTGCAGGATTGGGAAAGTTGTCATGCTCAACCTCGGGACGACTGCGCCTCCATGTCCAGCATTTGTCCATACAGTTTGGCCCTGTGGCAAGAAGCCACGTCCAATCAGCCAAGAAATTCCGATTCAGTCTTTGAAGACTTTCAGGGCCACCATGCTTGTCCGTCACAAGAAATCCAAGGAGGATCTAGACGAAGAGTGTTATTGGGAGCCCTCGCCAAACACGTGGATGTATGGGCAGGAGCATCTTTTGGCTATCTTGGATGCGGACACCCAGCGCACTGCGGTGAATCGAGGCCACTTCTTCTTGACCCCAGCATCGGAGGAGATGATCCTGAAGGTGCAATCAGAGGAGCACCCGGCAGCGCCTCATCGAGGCCTGAATGTGAAGAAAAGGAGGAAACCTCCGAAGTTGAAGCTTGGGGCAGCTCTGAAGAAAGCGGCTTCGGCAAAGATTGCCAAGAAGGCCCAGGAAGCTCCAACGCCCAGTAGCATTCGGCGCTCAGTGGCTGGGAGGAGGATGGTTCGCTTCATGATGAAAGAAAGCCCTCGAGGTGGACGCAGTTCGGTTTGCGGACAACCCTGTGTTCAACCCGAACACGGGGTCTTGCACGCTGAAGGGGTGTACTAGCTACACCTACGACCTCTTCATGGAGCAGGTTCCGCTGTACTTCCAGGCCCTCCACGTCAAGGTCCGCAATGCTGAGAGGTATGGACTGTTGGTGTACAAGACCATCACAGATCTGACCCAGCAGATGGAGCAGAACCCTGCAAAGCGTTCCTTGCTGCTCAACATCATCCAGGATGCCATCAAGGCAAAGCTCGGCCAGCCGAAGATCTAAGCTCTTGGAAGCTCTTGGGTGCTCCAGCGGCCAGCGGCATTTTTAGCTCTCGGAGGCTGTTCAGGGTGAATCGCGCAAGTTTTTTTGTTTACTTTTTTGGAGGGTGGTTCGGAACAGTCTTTGGATGTTTCTGGATTTTTTCCCTATGACAGGCTCCTATCTATGTGGTGAAGCTCCACCAGCAAAGCTTTTGGCATGATGCATCTTGAAAAGATGCCACCTGTTTCTCCGGAGTGAATTCCACCCGAGAATCACTCAAGTAATCGAAAGATCCAGCAGAGGTCGCAAATTTACATAGAAAGTTAGAATCACAGACTTGTCCGCACAGAGGATTTTTGAGTCTGTCGCAAGAGATCCTGTGAG